TTAAGTAAAAAAAACTACTTAATAGGAAAGAAAAGAAGAGAAGAGAAAATAAAAAATAAAAAATAATAATAACAAATTCTGAACCTAGTACCGCCTCATCCGCGGTCGATCGCGTCCAATCCGCGGTCGTGGATGAGAAACAGTGAGGGGGACAAAATCTGCGCTCGACTCTGCAGTCCAATCCGCGGGTGCAGACGGGGAGGCAGTGGTTTGTGTAAAATCCGCGGCGTACTCCGCGGTCCAATCCGTGATCGCGGATATCGATCTGCAGCAAATTTTTGTCTTTTTCGCACTTTTACCTATCTCCGGGTTAATTTCGTCCCCCGAATCCTGTCGATGCGCATAATTTTATCCCTGCACATTAGTAGATCGGTCAATGTCATTTCAAATCAATTACAAAAACAAGAGTAAAGAAAAATAATAGCTTGCCTCCTAAAAAGCGCCTGAGTTAACGTCGCGGCACGACGATTTACAACAAACCATGGGTTGCCTCCCAGGAAGCGTCTGATTTAACGTCGCGGCATGACGCAGGCTTTCATTATTACTCTTCGCTCACGTATTGGGGCTCTTCCAAATAAATCACCACTCTATCCCCCTTTTCTTCGACCATTCCAAGGTAATGTTTCAATATTTGCCCATTCACTGTGAACTTATTTGTCCCATCTTCGAATTCAATTTCTACATCTCCACTTGAGAACACTTGCACCACTCTGAAGGGTCCTGACCATCGGGACTTCAACTTACCCGGAAACAATCTCAATCTTGAGTTGTATAACAACACTAGATCTCCGGGTTTGATGTTCCGATCTAGAATGTGCTTATCATGCATCATTTTCATCCTTTCTTTGTACAATCTTGCATTGTCAAATGCATGGAACCTGAATTCCTCGAGTTCATGTAACTCAGTGACTCTGCTGGTGCTTGCGGTCTCTATATCCAAATTAAACTTCCGCAGTGCCCAAAGGGCTTTATGTTCGAGCTCTACCGGAAGATGGCATATTTTTCCAAATACCAACTTGTATGGTGACATACCAATTGGAGTTTTAAATGTTGTGCGGTACGCCCATAATGCATCATCGAGCTTCTTTGCCCAATCAGTCCTTGACGCATTCACTGTCTTGGTCAGGACACTTTTGATTTCTCTGTTGGACACTTCAACTTGCCCGCTCGTCTGTGGGTGGTAAGGTGTGGCTACCTTATGGCGAACTCCATACTTTTCCAACAGCCGTGTGAATGCTCTATTGCAAAAATGGGTTCCACCATCACTGATTATAGCTCTCGGGGTGCCAAAACGTGTGAAAATGTTTTTCTTTAGGAAGATTGTCACCCTTTTTGCATCATTGGTTGGGAGATCCACCGCTTCGACCCATTTGGAGACATAGTCAACTGCTACCAATATGTATTTGTTACCATACGAGTTGACGAAAGGCCCCATAAAGTCAATCCCCTGCATGTCAAAAACCTCCACCTCTTGAATTGTGGTGAACAGAATTGTGGGCATCCTTGAACAGAGTTGGCCAATACAACCCCGATTCCAATACTTTCGCTGTTGTCCGGATTCCTCCAAAGTGTCCACCATATGGTGAAGCATGGCAAGCCTGCAAAACAGAAGGTTGATCTTTCTCGGGGATACACCTCCGGATCATGTTATCTACACATATTCTAAAAAGTAGAGGTTCATCCCAATAATAAGATTGACAATCGCGAAAGAACTTTTTCTTTTGAATTAAAGAGAGTTCATAAGGTACAATACCGCTTGCTAAATAGTTAGCAATATCAGCATATCATGGCGTCTCCTCCATTGTCACAGTGAGTAACTGTTCATTCGGGAATGTCTCTATTATATCTTCAACCTCCATCTTCTTTTCAGCTCCTTCCAACCTTGAGAGGTGGTCTGGCACTTGATTGTTCATCCCTTTTCTATCATGGATTTCCAGATCAAATTCTTGTAGCAAAAGAACCCAATGGATTAACCTTGGCTTTGACTCCTTCTTTGCTATCAAGTACCTAATTATTGCATGGTCAGTATAAACAATAACTTTTGAACCAATTAAGTACGACCTGAATTTGTCGAAGGCAAACACTACAGCCAATATTTCCTTTTCCGTTACGGTGTAAATGAGTTGTGCACTGCTGGGCGTCCTGCTTGCATAGTAAATTGGGTGCATCATCTTGTCTTTTCGCTGCCCCAAGACTGCTCCTATAGCATAATCACTGGCCTCGCACATGAGCTCGAAGGTTGCTCCCACTTGGGTGCAACAATAATGGGTGCAGTTACCAGTCTCTTCTTCAGCTCCTCAAATGCCAACCTGCAATCATTAGAAAACACAAAGGGCTGATCCTTTTCAAGAAGTTTACATAAAGGGTTAGCAATCTTGGAAAAATCTTTTATGAATCGCATGTAGAACCCGGCGTGCCCAAGGAAACTTCTCACTGCCTTGACCGAAGTGGGTGGTGGCAATTTTTTAATAACATCAACCTTAGCATGGTCGACCTCAATTCCCTTACTGGACACTCGATGCCCCAAAACTATTCCTTCATGTACCATAAAATGGAACTTTTCCCAATTCAACACCAAATTTGTCTCCACACATCTTTTGAGCACTCTTCTTAAATTGTGAAGACAATCTTCGAATGAATCCCCCACCACGGAGAAATCATCCATAAACACCTCCATAATGTCTTCAACCATATCAGTGAAAATGGCTAACATGCACCGCTGGAATGTAGCCGGCGCATTGCAAAGTCCAAAAGGCTTTCTCTGAAAGGCAAAGATACCATACGGACAAGTGAAGGATATTTTCTCTCTGTCTTCAGGGACTATTGAGATCTGGTTGTACCCCGAATATCCATCCAAGAAACAGAAGTGAGACCGCCCAGATAACCTGTCCAACATTTGATCAATAAAAGGCAAGGGGAAATGGTCCTTCCGGGTGGCTGTGTTCAATTTCCGATAGTCCATGCAAATTCGCCACCCCGTGACTGTACGAGTCGAGATCAACTCATTATTCTTATTTTGTACGACCGTCATTCCTCCCTTTTTCGGCACACACTGAACAGGGCTGATCCAGTTGCTGTCAGAGATGGGGAAGATGATACCCGCATCCAGCCACTTGATCACTTCCTTCTTCCACCTCTTTCATATTCGGGTTCAGCCGTCGTTGATGCTCTCTGGAAGGTTTGTGCCCCTCTTCTAAGAGAATCTTGTGCATACAAAAGGCTAGGCTGATACCCTTTATGTCTGCCATGGTCCAACCAATTGTAGTCTTATATTCTTGTAACACCTGCAAGAGTTGCTTTACCTACACAGCTAGCAAACCAGATGATATAATAATAGGCAAAGTAGAATTAGGCCCTCAAAAAACATAACTGAGGTGAGCTGGAAGCGGTTTCAGGTCCAACTGTGGTGGCTCCTCTATTGATGGTTTTGCAGGTGGTATTACTCTTTCTTCTAAGTGTAGGGGCTCTAAATGAGGTTCCCTTTTCCAGAATCCTTGACCCTCGAGAGCCACGACCCACTCTGCCAAACCTTCACCATCCATCTCTTCCAAATTCATCAAACATGCCTATAGCGGATCCCTGACATTAAGGGTCATATCCTCCTCTTGCAGTATCACATCCACGGCCTCCACTAGCGAGAAATTTGCAAATTCGCTGGGTCTCCTCATGGATTGTTGAACGTTGAATATTATTTCTTCATTGTTCAACCTCATTTTCAACTCTACAGTCTCACAATCAATCAATGCTCTCCCAGTGGCTAAGAACGGCCTTCCCAGAATGATGGGTATCTCTTCATCCACTTGACAGTCAAGAATAATGAAGTCTGCAGGGAATACAAACTTCCCCACTTGAACAAGCACATCATCAAGAATTCCTGTCAGTCTTTTGACTGTGCGATCAGCCAGTTGCAACAACATTGAGGTCGGTCTAGCTCTGCCAATGCCCAGTTTTGTATAAATTGCCAAGGGCATCATGTTTATACTGGCCCCCAAGTCACACAATGCTTTAGCAAAAACATAACTCCCAATGGTGCATGGGATAGTGAAACTACCTGGATCAAACACTTTTTGAGCCATAGGTCTTGTCACTACCGCGCTGCAGGTCTGCATCAGAGTTACAGTGGACAGGTCCTGGAAGTCAAATTTTCGCGACATCAGATCCTTCATCATTTTTGCATACCCATGGCATTTCCCTCAAAGCATCCATCAGTGGAATATTCAATTGAATTTGTCGAAGCATTTCCATGAATTTCATGTATTGATCATCTTTCTTTTGCTTTGCCAATCTTTGAAGGAATGGTGCAGGAGTCAACCTCTGCCCACTGCTTGGTGTCTTTTCTTTGTTTGAAGCTTTTTCTACCACCCATTCTCAGAGTTGTTCACCTTCCTTCTCCTTACCCTTGTCAACCTGTGCTTGTTCAATTACAACCTCGGTGAACTCTGCTGACTCATCTACCTCTAATGTAACTGGAGTAGTTGGCGTAGTCTCTCTCCTAGATTGAGCTACTCCTAGCTCTCTGTCTAAATCTCTTCCATTCTTGAGACTCACTGTCATTAGCTGATTTGGGTTATGTTCCTTTGGGTTAATATTTGTATCTGCAGGCAATGTTCCTTGTGGGCGATTGTTCAAGGCCATAGACAGTTGTCCCAATTGAGTTTCAATGCCTTTGATTGTCGAATCATGTGCTGCTAACTTTTCTTGCATCTTACCATTTGTCCCAATGAGTTGTTGCAGCATGTCCCTGATTTCTATCATGTTGATGTCCTGCTGCTGATGAGGTGGTTGGTAGGCTAACCGTTGCTGGTGCTGCTGATTATAGCCATGTTGCCTTTGATAACGCACGACTTGGCCTTGTGGTCGTGCGCTTCCTGGATTAGGGTTGTGTTGTGGTTGGTTTGGTCTATACTGCTGGTTTGGTACTAGTCCCCATTGCTGCCCACCTTGCCTTTAACCTCCGAAATTGTTGACATAATTCATGTCTTCTCTGAAGCCCTGGTTGTCATTCTCTCCACTCCACGAGCATACATATGACTGGTTTATGCAAGGAGTGCACAAGCCTCCATTTGTTGTATCAATAATGTGCACTTGCTTTGTACCCATCTCATCAATTTTCTTTGTCAGTAAGCTCATCTGGGTCATGAGAGTGGCTATGTTCTCTGCATTGGAATTGTTTGGGTCAATAGCAACATAATGCACTATTGATGTAAGTGTCGTACCTCTAGTCATCCAGCTTGAATTTTGAGCCATCTTGTCGAGAAGAATCTTGCACTCTGTGAACGTTTTGCTCAAAAATGCACCCCCAGCTGAAGTATCTACATTGGCCTTCAAACTATCCGCCAAACCCATGTAGAATCTCTGTCCCAGCATCTGATCTGGAATGCCATGGTGTTGACACTTCACTAGCATACCCTTAAACCTCTCCCAAGTTTCTTGTAAGGTCTCAGTCGGTTTCTGCCTGAACTGCAATATCTCATCAATTTGCCTTGCAATCTTGTTGGGAGAATAGAACTTGTTTAAGAACTGCTTGACTAATTCTTCCCAAGTAGAAATGGAGTTTATTGGGAGCGAATTCAGCCAAGTTTGAGCCTCTCCAGTCACTGAGAATGGGAACAGTAATAGCTTAATTGCTTCAGGAGTCACATTCAGTTGTCTTTGAGTCACACAAATTGATATGAAGTTCTTCAGATGTTGTTGTGGGTCTTCGATGTATAACCCGGAGAACAGTCCCTTATTCTGCAACAGGTGTAGCATGTTGTTGGTAATCTGGAATGTCTCCACTTGTATCTGAGGAACAGCAATGGCAGTGGCCAGGTTATCAGCAGTTGGTTGTGCCTAATCATAAAGAGTAGCTTCCGGCACAAGAGGTGCCACCACTCCATTGCTTGGGTCAACATGATCATTCCGATTATTTCCGTTGATGTCGTCCACGTTGTCCATTTTACTTTTGAGTTGGTCTTTTTGTTTTAACTGTTTGTTATTCTTATTGGCCCGATTCAATGCCCTGAATGCTTTCTCGGGGTGTGAGAGTCCTTCAAAAAGTTCACCAGTCCTCAAAGAGCTTCTAGGCATACACCTGAGTCACAGAAGAGTTCAAACGTGAGAATTTCAATGGAAAATTTTTAACACCGTAGGAAATTGATCTAAACTAAGAATTCGAGCAATTCTTCTAAGTTGTAATAAATAACACTGTTAGATCCCCGTAAACGGCGCCAAAATTTGATTACGCCCAACTATGCCTTGTAAAAAGGACTAAGCGGTCGCTGCAAATATAATCTGGTTCAAGTCCGGAGTCGAATCCCACAGAAAACTAATCTATTTACTACAACTTTTAACAATGCTAATGATAAGTTCAGACAATTTTCGGATGCAAGATTTTTAATAGAGCATAAGTGAAATTTATTTATCTAATGAAAAATGACAACAAAATTAGCAATAATCAAGAATAAGGTTGAATTCAAAGGTAAAAGGATCTAGGGCTATTGATTTTCCCAATTGCCGGACTAATTCCTGATACGTTAGCTATAATCTCGCCGTAATACTCTATGAGGATTATGAGTTCCGGGCTACCATAATTATCTCTCGATCAATTACGATAATTTACTAGAAGCATTCTCTCGAACTACTCAAGTTAACAATTTATGCAACTCAGAATTATCCCATCAAAGCTTTGTTATCTCTAACCCCGCTTTTAAATTCAAGTAATTAATCTCTTAACTTACCCGAAAGTGGTGTTGTTCAACAACAATCTAACCAAGTGTTCTTTCTCAAGCAACACAAGTTAACTAGACACGATTAATCAAGGGCCCTTTTAATTAATCACAACACAACGCATAGTTGAACAATCATAGAATAAGAACGGCTCAATTATATCTAAACATAGTCAAAAATTCATCCAACAATTGGTTCCATAAACCCTAAATGATGGGTTTAGCTATTCATACTAATGGATAAAAATTCACTATAACAATTCATAATCAACAATGAAAGTAAGAAGAAGAAGATGAAAACTCTTAAGAAATTCTCCCTCTTCTCTCTCTTGTTCTTGCCTCCAAAATCTCCTAGATACCGCTCTCCTTCTCTTCTGTGCAAATTAGGATTCATATAGGTTTAGGTTTAGTCATCTTGGAAATTACATAATTGCCCCTGAGTTGTTGGCCTCCGTCAGCCCGTCCGCGACCGCGGATTGGGCCGCGAATTTTAGCTAGTGTTCTGCCTCTAGTGCGCGATCCAATTCGCGGTCCACTCTGCAGCCACGCACCTGGAGGGGACCTCCCCTCTTGTTTTTCTCGCTCCTATTCGACCGGGCTAACCTTCGATTGTCCTTCCACACTCCATATTAACTCCAAAACACTCTTTGGCTTCCTCCTAGCTCAGAGTAGTTCCTGCAAAGCATAAAATTCTTAATTAGAATATTTTATTATCTTTTAGCATTCAAATATCGATAAAGTGCGACTAAATTAGAGTATAAATAGTGTCTAAATTGCATAAATATAGCCTACTATTAAGTTCTCAAAATAGTCCTTCAAAATGTGAAGGCAATGTTTACCATCAAATTGGTATGAAAAAATAATAAAGTACGTTGCTGACTATGATCCATTCCTTAAAGAGAATGTGACTTGTGATAAGCATTGGGAATGCGGACCAATTCCTAAAGGTGAATGTGGCAATATGTGATAAAAGTAATGAATAAAGACATGCAATGCATGATTGGATGAATACCACACAATTCACCTCTAATGGAGGTTTGAGTGAAATAAAGACAATAAATATTATTGTGGTTATATGAATATGTCATTGGTCGCGTATATGTGATACGCCAAAATATTTTGGCATACCTTATAAAAGTTATTAAAAGCAAAATTAAAGCAAGAAATGATTTTGCTTATGATGATTTTGACCATAATATTATGATATAATTTTCTTTGTAAATGAGACATTCACCATATGGATGGTGTCATAAAAGATCTTATAGTATAAAATTGTACTACCCGGATGAGTAAAATTGTTCATGACATTAATATTATAGTAAGTCTCAAAAGAAACTTTTTGAGTTTCAAATGTACAAGCCAAAGTGGTTGGCATATTTAGACTATAAATGAAAGGAAGATTGAATATCTTCAAATTACTATAATCATACCGGATAAATATAAAAAATTATCCGACTTTTCTTCTATTTGTACTACACAAGTATAAACATGATGATGGAATCACATGGCACAAGTAAACTAGAGGTTTACTGAAATAAATATTAGTTGGCATGACCGGTTGGCCATCCCGGTTCAATTATGATGCGAAAATTAATTGAGAATTCACATTGGCATATATTGAAGAAATAGAAGATTCTTCTAGAATTCTCTTATGTTGTATATTCTCATAATATACCAGTTAAGGTTGAGATTGAATCCCTTGATTTATGAAACAAATAAAAGGTGATAAATATATGGGCCCAGTCACCTGCCATGTGGACCGTTTATTATTATATGATTTTAATAGATGCATCTTTTGTATGATCACATGTGCACTTATTATCAACTTGCAGTTTGACTTTTGTAAGGTTGCTTGCTCAAATTATTATAGCACAATTCCAGAATATAAATATAGTGATTTATCTTGACAATGCTGATTTAAATCTAAGTTGGTTTAGCAGAAATTGTATGCCTCCAATTATAGCTAAACCATTGGTTATGAGAACAAAACTCTCAAAACGAAATTTGGTATGAGATGTATTATTTAATATACAGTAGCACTTGTACACATCTAGCCAAGTTACGAAAATTTCTCCCTATCACAATCGGTTCAGGGTCAGGAACTAAATAATATTCATCTAGAAATATGGATGTCTTATATGATTTAATTATGCCACCACAATGCACAAAGATGGGTTCCCAAAGAAGGTTGGAAAATGTGTTGGTGATCCCAATATTAGGGGGAGAAAATGGGCAACTGAGAAAGTGATACGTGGAATGAATTATTATGAATACATATAAATCCTCGTACAAAAAAATATGAACTTGAAGTTCAAGTGATAATTCATTTGCAAATTAGTGTCAGCCGCATTTGCTGACCCAAAGCTAAATGTCATATTTCAGCTGCTAATGCTCCAAATAGAATAAAGTCCATGAGGGACAGAGTCTATGGCACGCAAGAAGCGTAACATGCCAATCGGTTCCAAAGATAAAACTCCTTGAAGAATCAGAGGAGCAAATGATAAAGATGGTCATACTAAGAGGGCAAGTGCTCTATAAGAGCACCACGACATAACACTTTATAAGACCTCATAGGAGAGGCTCAAGTACCTGAAATTATTAAGATCTCAATAAGTTATGTCTTTATTGGGTAATAATGGAACCGACATAAAATGATCATCGACTATATTGTTAATATAATGTGGTGCTCAATATTATTAATATTGACGAGGATCTTGAGCTCAAATCTGTCATGAAATTTGGACAGATAAATGATTGGCCAAATAAAAAATACGCAATGAAAATTGACTTCACTTGAAAAATGTGAAGTTGGACGTATAGTCCCAACAACTGAAAGTATAAAGCCAATGTTGGTATAAATATGTTCTTGTGCGAAAAAATGTCAAGTCGATAGACATAAAGACGACTTGTGACACAAGAAGATTTGTAAATATCCTGACATTGCTTATATGGAGACATGTTCTCCTGTGGTGGATGTAGTCATTTCAAGTTTTAATCTGGCAATACGTGAATAACTTGATATGCGTATAATGGAAATCATTGAAAGATTTAAATTGTTCTGAAGCATATTAAGGTTCCCAAGAAATTTATTAAATAAAACTTCAGCAATTGGTGCACTAATGTATCTTGCTAAAACTATGAGAATAACAATATACTAGCAAGATATAGTTTTATTCCTATATGAAGATATTGGAATACTATTAGGATTATATTGCAAAAGGAATCCTTGATATAGATTTGTTTATTCTAACAAATATTGCCAAAGTTTTGTTGGTTATGCAAATGTAGGCATTTTTTGAAGTTCATTCTTCAAACAATCTATTTGTATGCGAGGGTACTGCCATATTATTATTTCACAAGGAAATCAATTGTTGATACTTATTCAACAATGTCAATATACTAGGAACTGATAAATCAAGTCACTCAACACACAACTGGTGTGTGACTTTACTTTGAAGAGAAGACTCAAATAATAGTGACGATGATATTTTCTTATCTCAATTGAAAGAAGGATATATTGAAGGAGACAGAATAAATCATATATTTCATCAAAGTTCTTTATCAGACACAATCTTCACCGAACGGTAAAATAGATGTTCAATGAATTTGTTCTCTTGATAATTTGGTGATTCTATTCAACGAAGCATGATCAACCTCAACATTTGAGAAGTTGGTATACATGATCGGAACACATCATCTAGGTGAAATAAATTGATGTTTTCATCAGGGGAGGCAAATACGTGATATACTCTTTTTCCCTTAGCTACGGTTTTATCTCACTGGGTTTTCCTGGCAAGGTTTTTAATGAGGCAGTAAGCAATGCGTATTACATGATATGTGTACTTTTTTTCCTTCATTGTGATTTTTTTCCATAGAGTTTTTTCCTAGCAAGGTTTTAATCTACGGAAAAGGGCCAAAAATACCCTTGAACTATTTAAAATAGCTCAAAAATACCCTCCATTTATTTTTGGTACCAAAAATACCCATGCCGTCTATATTTTGGACCACAATGCCTTAAACCATTAGTCTTGCCATTGAAGGTGATATGACAGTCCAACTGGATTAGATTTGCTTACATGGCCATCCACCTAAGCAATCGAGCATGGCAAAATTATTTTTTCGGAAAAAATATTTTTTCGAATTTAAAAAAAAAAAAATACAAAATCAACACTTATTCTGAAAAAAGTAAAATAATTTTCCGGAATTTTTTTACTTTTTTCACAATAAGTATTGATTTTGTATTTTAATAAAAAAATTCCGAAATAAATATTTTTTCCGGAATTTTTTTAATTTTTTCGGAATAAGTGTTGATTTTGTATTTTAATAAAAATTTCCGACATAAATAATTTTTTTGATTTTTTTTACTTTTTTCAGAATAAGTGTTGATTTTGTATTTTAATAAAAATTTCCGAAAAAAATAATTTTTCCGTAATTTTTTTACTTTTTTCGGAATAAGTGTTAATTTTGTATTTTAATAAAAAATTCCGAAATAAATAATTTTTTCGGAATTTTTTACCTTTTTCGGAATAAGTGTTGATTTTGTATTTTTAAAAAAATTCCAGAAAAATAATTTTTCTGAAAAAATAAATTTTGCCATGTTGGATTGCTTAGGTGGATGGTCATGTAAGCAAATCTAACCCAGTTGGACTGCCATGTCACCTTAAATAGCAAGACTAACGGTTTAAGGGCATTTATGGTCCAAAATATAGACGATAGAGATATTTTTGGTACCAAAAACAAACTGAGGGCATTTTTGAGCTATTTCAAATAGTTCAAGGGCATTTTGGCTCTTTCCCGTTTAATCTATGGACATCCAAGGGGGAGTGTTATAAAATCTTGAATTATGGTGGATATCCATAACCACCAAAGAAGTAATGCTCACTACTCTTCTTATCATCTCCATAACTTTCACTACTATAATACTTATGGAGTTATGATTGTAACTCCATAACCTTCCCATGATCTTACTACATGATCTCAAATACTTAATAACATATTCAATGACATATTTGTTCACTTTTTATGCCTATATAAATGTCTTATAATAGATGAAAAGATCACACAATTGAAGAAGAAATAAAAATTTCTCATCTCTCTGTATCTCTTAGCTTATTTTTTATTATTTTATATTATTACTTTGAGCTATATTTCATAACAAAAATTATGTTTTTAGTTGTTCGAACATGGACAAAAACATGAAAATTCTTATAAAATGAAAAGAAAATTACGTTTAGCATAATTTAATTGGACCTATGCTCAGCACGAACTACCCGTAACTAGGACTATTAGATTAAAGATCCAACTATCAATAATATAAGGTCCGTCGTGGATCGTCAGTCACTATGGAATTATTTGGGTAACTAGCCAAGGTTTTATGGGACAAAGGTACCATCTCATTATTTGGGGAAGTTTCCTTTTCTGATTCTTTTGTTTTAAATTTCCTATCCTGATTTATTCCTCACAATGACTTTCCGTTCTTCCTTCTGTCAACAACCAAATCAACTGCTGTTTCTCCTTGACCCAAAAGCTACGGTTTCTATTTTTGTTTCTTTACTAAACTAGGGTTTCTCTCCCTATCCCTATCCCTCTCCAAGATTGATCTCTTCCAGTTTCTTCACATTTTTGCCCTCACATTTATAGGGCATTCTGCACCTTTGGCTTTGTGAACATTATTGTTGAGCCAATTTTTTTCCAAAATTGCCCTGAATATGGTGCAATGCTGGGTAATTGAGGTCAAATAACTTGTTTTATTCTGTATTGCTGTAGTGAATCATTTGCAGATTGTATTTGCTTTCGGCTCAGTCTCGCATTTATGATTTGTTGTGTTTACCAATTGAGAACTTGGTGTTTCTGACAGATATTAATGATGAAGTGGTGGAGTTTTTAGGGGATATTGTGTATGCTTATTAGGTTTGTAATTAGAATGATGAAGAGGTTGAAAAATGAGGCTTCAAGTGTGAGGAGGTTCAAATTGTCATATATTTTGCTAGGTTTAGCTGCATTTTACTTGATCCTCATCTGCGTGAAGTTCCCAGAGTTTCTCGAGAGCGCTACAGCTTTGAGTGGTGATGCTGCTGCTGCGGATGTGGCTCTAGATGTCGAGGATGATGGTGGAGAATCATCGACTTCTGGATTTCATAATAATTTAAACCAATATGTACTAGTGACACCGCGAGAAGAGGAAAATGAAAATGGAGTGTTGCCCCATAAAAAGCCTCGTAAGCTTCACTATGGTCGAATTACTGCAGCTATTATGAAACGACAGAATATGGAGCGAAATCTTTCTGTTTTGGATAGAATGGCTGATGAAGCTTGGACTTTAGGCTCGAAAGCCTGGGAAGAATTAGATAAATATGAGGAAAAGGGGATTGAGATGAATTCAATACTCGAGGGGAAGCCCGAGTCATGTCCTTCATGGGTTTCTACTAGTGGAGCACAACTTGCTAAAACAGATCAACTTATGTTCCTACCATGCGGGCTTGCAGCAGGTTCTTCTATAACGCTTATTGGTACTCCTCATTATGCTCATCATGAGTATGTACCACAGCTTTCCAAAACAAGGGCTGGCGATGCATTAGTCTTGGTTTCCCAATTTATGATTGAATTACAGGGTTTAAAGTCCGTTGTTGGCGAGGATCCACCAAAGATTTTGCATCTGAATCCTAGAATTAGAGGAGATTGGAGCCATAGACCAGTGATCGAGCACAATACTTGCTATAGAATGCAATGGGGAACGGCTCAAAGGTGTGATGGTTTACCTTCCAAGTATGATGATGACATGCTCGGTATGACACTTTCTAACATTATGCTTGTTGGATTTTTGTCTCTCTATATCTTCAGCTATTCCGTGGGGGGTGGGGGGAGTGAAACTACTAAGGGAAATGGTATTTTTGAAAATAAAGAGATTTCTATTGGTTGTAGACTCAAACCTGAAAGTTCTTTGACAACAAAGTTCTTGTTTGAAATATGATGTAGACTGGAATTCAGGCTCAAATAATCCCAAACCAACCAATTAGTACAAGATATAGCAGTTGTAGACTCAAACCAACCTCAAAACTTCACATTTGGAACTTAGTAACCCAAGCAAGGGTGTGTGCATTCGTCACGCGCAAGAGTAAATGTGGCAGGGAATTTCCAAAGGTGTTGGCAGTTGCGGTTGCACACTAGGCTACATTTTGACCCATTGAGCTCCCGAATTTGGACTCAGGTGCATGCAGCTGGTGACACATTGCCCGGTCCCACAACCTTGATAAATCTGCAGTCCAGAATTTTGGCCTGCGGTCACAACCATGTCGTACAATTGCATTTCCTCTTGAAATTGTGTCACCCTTCAATTCTTACTGCAGGCCAGTCGTGCGATCACATTTCCTCTTGAAATTGTGTCACCCTTCAATTCTTCCCAAAAAGGGCCTTGATCTTCACTGGGATCTCCCATAGCTTCCAATGCTCCTTAGGCACTATGTCTGGTGTGAACCCCCTAGACATGCTGCTATCACCCCTCCTCTTCTTTTGAAGACTAGGTCATGAGCTCTTCTTTATCAAGTGCTGCTGCTCACATATTGAAAATGTACTCCCCATGGACTTTACAATTGTGACAGTTAAGGCAAAATTAGGCTAATTGTCAAGCAAATTATATTGCAGCATCCAATATTAAATCACAAGATTGTGCGGATAATTGAAAACCTACCTGAAATTACAGAAATGTCGAGCTAGTTTGATTAACAAGCTGATCATAGGGGTTAGGTTGCCGAGAAGGCGAGAACCACTTTCACATGTTGACCCACTAACAATTGCACGTAACATTTTCGTCCTGAAAACTACAATTGTATATCATTTTACCCCAACTTCCTCAGTATAGTTTTGTTGAATTAATTTAGGCTGCTAAATGCTTAATTTTTGGTTTTAAATTAGTTTCCTGGACATCACTTCTGTTTCTTTTATTCATTTATATCTTGGCCGGATTGTTTTCACCTTATGATATATATATTTCACTTGAGAATGCTGATAAACCTCTTTTGCTTCCTTTTCCTACTTATGTCGAACAAGTTTTAGTTGTGGGATTCTTGATTTTATAGCTTTACATCAATCAAATACCATAAATTTAGAAATTCATTTTCATGACAGTTGATGGGTATTTAAGATGTGACAAGTGGATGCGGAATGACATTGTTGATACTCGAGAGTCGAAAATATTCTCATGGTTTGATCGATTCATTGGACGTGCAAAGAAACCAGAGGTGACATGGCCTTTCCCGTTTGTGGAGGGTAGGATGTTTATTCTGACTATTCGTGCTGGTATTGATGGCTACCATATCAATGTAGGTGGCCGGCACGTGACGTCATTTCCTTATCGAACTGTAAGCTACTTGCGCTCTTCCAAACAATTTTGCAGGTTTTCTTGGTAGACATGTGAGTGTTCTGCTTACTGAGCATGTCTGTAGTGAAGGAGTGCATTTTTAAGACGTTGCACTTGAAATTGACTTGAGACTTAACACATTTTAGAGTCTTGGACTGCGTTCCAATCATGATCACCATTGAATATCCACTGCATACATTTTCCTTATACACAAGGGCACATTGGATATCAAACTACTATTCAAATCTTTTACCCATACAAATATTACCATACAAAATGAACGGTAGACACAAACGTGTCCTAGTATTTGATCCCTTTTCTGAAACCCTTAACCAGTTTACCGAATTTGTAATCCTTGCAATTAATATGATCACCAGATTTTCTGGAATTAATGTTTTAGTTTCCTCACTCATGTTATTACCCTACTATACTTGTGAGCCTTCAATAAATGTTCCCTATTCTTTCAGGGCTTTACACTGGAAGATGCTACAGGGTTGGCAATCAGAGGTGATGTAGATATACATTCGGTTTATGCTACATCTCTACCAACCTCTCATCCAAGTTTTTCGCCCCAAAGAGTGTTGGACTTCTCAGAGAAGTGGAAATCTCTTCCTTTGCCCCAGAATCGCATTCAAATTTTTATTGGGGTGCTTTCTGCCACCAATCACTTTGCTGAGCGTATGGCAATCAGGAAAACGTGGATGCAGGCTTCAGCAATTAAAACCTCAGATATAGCAGTCCGCTTCTTTGTTGCATTGGTAAGTCGCCCACCTCACCAAATAAAAGATAGATTTGGCTCAACTGCATGTTAAGCATAACTGTCGATCCACCCAAATAAGTTTGGACCTCAAAGGCTCAAATGCAGCCAATTATTCCTCGTAATTACAACATTTTAAACTCCAATAAACTTTAATTTCGATGAGGTGATTAATGGAGATTGTCAAATAATAGGTTTAAGGAATACGCTGTTTATTGAACTGCTTTCTTGATAAGTTGATTATTGGAATTAGCAAAACCAGACAAGTGTCTATGAGTTGAAAATCATTAATTTGTTGGATCATCTTTTTTCAGGCCAAATTTGTAAAAAACATGTCTGGAAGTCCATTATTTTTGTCAAGTCTTTTTACATATTTGGCCCAAAAAAGAAGAAATACACAGTTGGAACAAATAGCCATTGTACCTAATGAAGAAATTGAAAAACAAAGTTGAAGTAAAGCATGCATGGGATATTAATATAAGAAGTAAGTAGAAATACACAATTGGAACAAATAAATCACTCTATATGACTATGTGCGAATTAACAGTTGAAAAATACCCTACTTGGAAGCTGATTTTTCAATTTTTATTCACTCCCACGTGCCTAAAAGAGAGTGTACTTTGCCACATCAGCATCCAGGGGATGAAGGCTATCAAACTGCCAAGTTAAGGGAGGTAATTAGGACAAAAAATATTGCCTGAATAAACGGTGCCAAGTTTAGGGAGTCCTGGGGTGATGATCTATGCTGACCTTTCTAGGTGCTGAATCTTAGGTGAAAATGCTAAATGTGGCTAAATATGCACAAACATATATTAGTGGTTAACAAGGTCTGGCAGACTACCAGTGACAAATGCCGAAGTTATAGAGAGGGAAAATGTATAGAAAAGAAGAGAACAATGGAGAATCATGGTAGCCCAATTGGTTAACTACCTGAACTTCCACCTTGCTGGTCGGGTTCGATTCTCCACCTTGTAATCCTCTCCCCTCAATGTAAAAAAGAAAAAAAGAAAAAAGAAAAGAACATTTATCAAAATGCACTCTTTGGTTAAACTTTACATGTATTCCATATTTTACTAACATGTGTGACTGTAGTGGATTGATTACCCATTCTAGAACATCCAACTTTTTGAATAAAGAAAATAGAATTTGATGAGGGCAATTTTTCTCACCTGATCAGGAGGCACACTTAGTGAATGCTTTTAGAACATTTGATTATATGAATGATTGGTCTGAGTGGCATGATTGTGTTTGTTTACATGCAAAGCATGTTGAGTATTTTACTTCCGTAATTAATGACTTTGTGTGTGACTAACATTGTTTAATGAGAAGAGCCTATAGAAAACTCAAGTGGAAGCAACGTATGGTGATGCTTAAGCATAAGGGAAGAGAGATAATTTGACATTAATTTCCAACAAACTTTGGGATATTCGCCTTGTATAAGGACAAAGCACCAAACTTATTCCAATTAAAAGGACTGCAAAATTTAATAAGTTCCTAGTTGCATTTAGGTGGATACCGTGGATTATTAGTATATTGCTATCAACTTCACCTTTTTTCAGGTGGATCACAGGACTGTTAAGTGTTATCTCAAGTTGACTACTGTATTCACAACTCATAAGTAGCCGAATAATAGATATCAGCTAAGACAGCCCCCGTGTATTTAACCTACTAGGAAGATCCTCATGGCTTCCCTGGAGCATACTGCATGCTAGTTACATAGTTTTTCTCATCTTTTGGGAGGAATTGACTTGCCCTACACATGGTGTTCACTAGGAAGTAGTAATGCCATTTTTGTTCTCGGACTTCTGAGATGCTTTCATTGGAATATTTTTTATAGATAAATTGTCAGTTGAAAGTAGTATTGCTTTTGAGTAAAGGAGAAAACACGAACAGGAAAAAGGTTGTGCTATTGTCTTCAGTACGACTTTATGTTTAGGTTCCCTTTTACCAACTTATTATTTATAGAACTTCTGCTATCATCTTTGCAAATAGCCAGTTTGGAGTTGAATCCCAATGCATTTGCTTATTTATGTATTAAAATTAACTTTGTAGAATCCACGAAAGGAGTTGAATGCTATATTGAAGAAGGAAGCAGATTACTTTGGGGACATTGTGATTGTCCCCTTTATCGACAGATACGAGCTAGTGGTCCTAAAAACTATTGCCATCTGCGAGTATGGGGTGAGTTCTGCACTTCCGCTCCATCTTCCTCTTCTTTCCTGAACTGCTTAGTCACATCCTAATATCCATCGACATGGCCCACAATATCTCTTGAAGGTTCAGAATGTGACAGCTACATATATCATGAAATGTGACGACGATAATTTCGTGAGGATAGATGCAGTCCTTAGAGAAATTCAACGTGTTCCTCCTAGACGATCTCTTTACATGGGTAATCTTAATCTCTTGCATCGACCACTTCGA